GCTAATGATGGACAACATCCCAAGGGAAACAAAACAAGCCTTGTCCACCTTGTGTGCTATATGCTTAAATTGACCAATAGTGGAGAAAGGTTCGTGTTTAGGATCTAATCTGTGCAGTTCAGCTCATGAGAGGCTGCCATTTGATTTACTACTCATTCTCATAGGTCTCTAGTAATGCCAAGATTGAGTGAGCAATTTCAAATCTACCTCACAAAGTCCGGCTGCATGGTGATAACCTCGGCAAACAAAGAATGCAATAGAAAAATGAATGTTGGAGCATCACAAAGTAGCATACAATTCACGAAAAAATATGCGAGGGTTTAAGCACAAAACTTTGTAGCCTTGGCAGTATCCTTGTAAGTCTAAAATTAAACCATTCCCTTCTTTGCGAAGGCAATCCTTTTATCAAGCACACGGGAAGTAGTAAACACCGAGACATGGTTGGTGGTGCAGTTAATAAAAGGACAGAAGTGGCTCGCATATTTCCTAAATCATCGAAAGCCCTACGACTTTCTCATCCCAAAGACACTTCCCTTTTGCCTTAGGAGCAGTGAAAATGTTAAATTTGTCGGCAAACTAGCTGCACCCCAATCTACCACAGGCGACTTTGTAGAGGTCGTAAGAATCAGTTTAAAGGTATTTACCTCGAATGGACATCGTTCACTGCTACCAATGCTGCATAACTTAGCAGAGCCTACAGTAGGCGTCTTCTAGAAGGGTTAGCTCCCTGGTTTAAGATGTAGGGCTGAGTCGCCTTAATTGGGTTGTCAGGACAATAGCACACGCATACCCATTTCCTCTTTGGACACAGGAAAATATCATTTTGCAAATCTACAAAAGAGCAACATTTCTGTTGGAGTTGTTCCTAAAGGCAGGTAAAATTGTCAATGCGATGCTAAATCCACTGCCAAACAAAAAGGTCACCCTAGAACGAAGTAATGTATGTGTGTTCTGCTACATTAATATTACACGCATCACAACAACGGGGAAATGAGAACGTACGGCTCAGGTTTGGGATACTGAAAACGGAGAAGAGAGAGCTTCATTTCACCAGTCTCCTTTTTGATTTGGTTTTGGTAATGGTAGTGCTAGTGGTGACGCAGTAAGTGTGTAATGATGAAGTACCAAATTGATCATCTTCGTCTTCCTCGTCATTTTCTCTCATCTGTGCTGAGTGCTGTCTATATACACAATGTGGGATTGCTGCAAGTCGGATAACAGTGGTTTTGGTGGCTGTATTAATAGAAGACGGATAGATGTGTGAGTTACTTAAATCAGTGCCTCCTCGAGAGCATCTGCAGTGGACTTTTGATGAACTACGGAGGTTCTCTGTGGTGGCGGTGGTGGCAGATCCTCGCTATGAAGCGTGCCTTCGCTTGGTGGATGGCCTGTCGAGGAGAGATTAGAGGAATAAGCCTGGTGGAAGAGACTCAGAAGATCTATGGGAAGAGGGAAAATAATCGTCGAGTTCTTCTCATCCGAAATACTGGAGAGGGTTTGCAGATAGCGCAACTGCAGCGCAATCGGGCATTCGCCAATCTCCATGGCTGCTGCCTTCAACGCAACTGAGGCTCTCTGTTCCCCTTCCGCCGCGATAACTTTAGCTTTGGCCTCTCGAGCTGCCTCGGCTTCAGCAGCCATTGCGCGCTGAAGCTGGATGGGCAGGCGGACATCTTTGATATCCACGCGTTCGACTTTCACACCCCATGTTTCTGTTGCAGTATCCAAACAATCCTGCATCAAATGTGCAATCTGTTCTCGCGCCGTCAGTAGTTGGTACAAATCTACGGTACCTAAAACGTTTCTCAGCGTAGTCTGGGCCAAAAGACGTGTAGAACGATTTGCATCCTCTACATTAACCACAGACATCACTGGATCAAAAATTCTGTAGTACACAACAGCATCAACTGCCACTGTCACAGAATCCTTGGTGAGAACTTCCTGTGTAGGCACGTTGAATGTGAACGTGCGCAAATCTATGGTCTTGACGTTATCCAAACAGGGAAGAATAAACACCAGACCTGGTCCCTTGGGTATCTCAGAGACAAGGCGACCCAAACGAAACACTACAGCGCGCTCGTATTGGGCAATAACCTTAAGACACATCACCAGAGAGAAAGGAAGTGTCACAAGCACTGCAAAGTAGGCGAGAATGCGGATAGCAGCTTCGCATCCAAACATGCCTTTATTTCCTTGCCGTTGTTTGGAGGGATTGCCACTAGATCCGCCGCTAGAATTGTTTCCCTTACTACCCAGCCGCTCAGGTACCAGAGAGAAGCCTCGAGCGAGTTGAGGTATTTGAGGAACTCGTAATTGGGCCTCCTCTCCTCCACCTCCTCCATCGCCGTTTCCTCCTCCTCCTCCTCCTCCTGACCCACCTCCCCTATTGGCAGGGTCGGAGGCAAAAGACACAGAGGGCATGCCGATTTCTTTGAACAGGTCTTCTGGATCCTCGTCAGTAGATAGTGAGATGTATGGCGGTGCACTGGGTTCTACCTCAACGTAGGGTGGAGGAGGTGAATTTTGTGGCAGCCGAGGCGTTTTTGTGTGGTTCGGGAGCCGCTGTTGATTGCAAGGGGTCGGCGAGTGTTGGGCGTGGTGGTTGGACTTGCTGGCTACGCTGGAACGAATCAGCCTGATGCCGTGTTACACTGTGCGGTGGACTTGCCGTGGTTAATTAGCCAAGCTTAATTCCCAGGCGTAGCCTTGAAACAGCGCATGCATATTATCCCGACGAAAATTATGCCCGTACGTGTGTGTACGTACACGACCACGCAAAGGGGAAGAAGCAAATGTCCCGCACGCACTCACGCACTCACATGCACGTACGCACGCACGCATACGCACTAACAGGTAAGAGCAGCAGATGCTGTGCAGGGTGGATAGACAGACAGGCGAGGAATCGATTCGTTGCTGGTGTGATGACCAATCAGGTTGCAGTGTTGTTTGCCGCTCACGCGCGCGCAACACAAAACTCGTGTGCAGATGCGCGTGATGTAGGATGACATTGCACACCCGGCCCAGTATAGGCGTGGTTGGGTTTTGGCATTTTTCGACCCTTTCCGAGGTCACCAGACTGCATTGGTTCTGCTCACTTCTTTCCTTTGCTACATCGACACGCTTATGGGTGCCTTTATGCAGCACTGATGCTATCTTTGCTGCACTCTCTTGATTGGCTACAATTTGTTAGACAATTAATTAGAA